GTAGAGACTCTGCAACCGCGCCCAGCTGCATAAATCAGGCTTATGCTGAGTTTAAATAATTGGAGGGCAAATCTAGTACACCATTTGTTCCATTATGCTTTTTCTACAAAAGTAAAAAATCTTTTTTTTTTTTTTTCTGCCCGCAAGACAGAGTCTCGCTCTGTCGCCCAGGCTGGAGTGCAGTGGGTGCGATTTCCCCTCACTGCAACTTCTGCCTCCCAGGGTCAAGTGTCGTGCCTCTGCCTCCTGAGTATCTGGGATTACAGGCGCATGCCACCACGCCCGGCTAATTTTTTTTTTTTTTTTGGTATTTTTAGTAGAGACAGGGTTTCACCATGTTGTCCAGGCTGGTCTCCAACTGCTGACCTCAAGTGATCTGCCGACCTTGGCTTCCCAAAGTGCTGGACTACAGGTGTGAGCCACTGGGCCCGGCCAGTAAAAAAGTCTTTATTAAATGCAACTAGCTGTAAACAAAGCAGTACACATGAAAAGAGGACACAAGGAGCTGGAGCCACTGAAGTACAAGTGGTACCTCTCTACTGTGTTTTGGGTGCTGATAATCACCACCAAACCCAACTTGATTGGCTTACTTTGAGCGAGACCTTTATGTCGTTTTCAGGCTGTCTCAGGCAGAAAAACCACACTCCTTGGAGACTCAGATATGCAGGTTTTCTTCTGATGCCAGCTCTAAACAGTCATATTTGCCCACTGTTAGAGCAAGCTTCCTTTCTGTTCATCCTAGGAAAAGCCTTACAGTCTTGTATATTTGCATTTTTACTAGCCAGTGTTGCAGAATTTCCATTTTCCTAAAGCAGCCGGATTCCAGCCCTTCCTAACTCATTGCAGCCCCTCCAGTTATGGAGCCTCTTCTCTGGAGGAGTCCTTTTCCTCAACTGCTCCCAGGGATTTTATACCCCTGCCTAGGCCACTCTTCACTGTTTTGCATATTTAAATCCATTTGACAAATCAGAACCGTTCTAAAATAGACAGGAAACTTCCCATAGAGGAAGTGCTAAATTGTTTGTAGTTTCTTCAAGCTCTTTTGTTTTGTTTTGTTTCCTACGATGTATTTAGTAATTTCATTATATCGTATTTTATGCTGTCCAAGATTCCAAGTACCCTCCACATATTTAGAGGAGCCACGGATAAGTGCATGTTAAATGACTCGTTTCTCCATCTTTCTGAGTTGAGATCCACATTGATGTGCAATTTGTTGTTCCTAAGTGGCTTAGATAATGGCTAAAAATATGTTTTCTTTTTCTATAGAAATCAAAGTAACTTTTTAAAAGCTTGCAATCACCTGCTGTGTTTCTATGTTGGTGTTAAGGCAATCAGCTTTGGGCATACTAAAAAATCGTTTTCTGTTACCACCATCCATTGAAATGCCAATTGGCATCCAAAGAATTTACCTGAACAAACCAACTTTTATGCATGTTTCATTTGTGTTTATTTTTATTATAAAAATTTATCATTTGTATTTGCTTCACTTCAGAATCCTATGATGGAATGTCTCAACTTTTAAATACTTGCTTTTTAAGTGTTCTCCAATTTGAACATCTGATATTTTTATATGTACTCCAAAAGGCATTTCTGAATGAGACTGCCTAAAGTTTACTTTTGAAACTGGCATTTATTGAACTTTCCTAGTGCTTTTGCTTTCCTTCACTCTGACCCCACTCCAATACAATTTGCAAAAAAAAATTTTTTTAGATCTTGCATAGAGAGCAAAAACAATTTGCAATCTTAATGATGATAATGTATACATGAACACAAGGAAAAAATAAACCCACAGCATCTTTCTTTCTTTCTTTCTTTCTTTCTTTCTTTCTTTCTTTCTTTCTTTCTTTCTTTCTTTCTCTTTCTTTTTTCTTTCTTCTTTCTTTCTTTCTTTCTTTCTTTCTTTTCTTTCTTTCTTTCTTTCTTTCTTTCTTTCTTTCTTTCTTTCTTCCTTTCTTCCTTCCCTCCCTTCCTTCCTTCCTTTCTTCCTTCCTTGTGTGTCTCTTCTCTCTCCTTCCTTCCTTCCTTCCTTCCTTCCTTCCTTCCTTCCTTCCTTCCTTCCTTCTTTCTTTCTTCTCTCTCTCTCTCTTTCTTTCTTTCTTTCTTTCTTTCTTTCTTTCTTTCTTTCTTTCTTTCTTTCTTTCTTTCTTTCTTTCTTTCTTTCTCTTTCTCTCTTTCCTTCTTTCCTTCTTTCCTTCTTTCTTTCTTTCTTTTTTGAGACAAAGTCTTGCTCTGTCCCCCAGGCTGGAGTGCAGTGTCGTGATCTCAGCTCACCGAAACCTCCGCCTCCCGGGTTCAAGCAATTCTCCTGCCTCAGTCTCCCGAGCTGGGACTACAGGTGCCTGCCACCATGCCCAACTACTTTTTTTTTGTATTTTTTTTGTATTTTTAGTAGAGACTGGGTTTCACTATGTTGGCCAGGCTGGTCTCGAACTCCTGACCTCAAGTGATCCACCTGCCTTAGCCTCCCAAAGTGCTGGGATTACAGGCATGAGCCACTGTGCCCGACCACAACATTTTCATTGTTTAAAATTTTAGTCTGTTTTCAAGTAGATTGCCTAAGAGCCAACTGGTAAGAAAAAACCAGTTAACATTTCCTACAATTAATTCACATATTGATAACATCTGTTCACTTTTACAGATTTCCTTTTTTTTTTTTTCTTGCTCTGCCACCCAGGCTGGAGTGCAGTGGCACAATCACAGCTCACTTCAGCCTCAGCCTCCTGTGCTCAAGATCTTCCCACCTCAGCATCCTGATAGCTGGGACTACAGGTGTGTGCCACCATGTCTGGCTAATTTTTTTTAATTTTTTTTGTAGATAGGGGATCTCACTATGTTGCCCAGGCTGGTCTTGAACTCCTGCGCTCAAGTGATTCTCTGCCTCGGCCTCCCAAAGCTCTGGGATTACAGGCATGAGCCAACGCACCCAACATATGAGTCAAAACAAAAAAATTTTTTTTAAAGCAGCCACTTTCTTCTCTAAGTTACTTAATATTCTTTTCAGTCAGAGATGCTACTTTGTCTATCAATACTTCCATTTTCTTTCTCTCTCTCTTTCTTCGTTCGTTTTTCCCTTCCTTTTTTTTTTCTTTTTCTTTTCTTGAGACGGGAGTCTCACTCTGTCACCCAGGCTGGAGTGCAATGGTGCCATCTCAGCTCACTGCAACCCCTGCCATCAGGGTTCAAATGATTTTCCTGCCTCAGCCTCCTGAGTAGCTGGGATTATGGGCATGTGCCACCATGCCTGGCTAATTATTGTATTTTTAGTAGAGATGGGGTTTCACCATGTTGGCCAGGCTGGTCTTGAATTCCTGGCCTCAAGTAATCTGCCGGCCTCAGCCTCACAAAGTGCTGGGATTACAGGTGTGAGTCACTGTGCCCTGCCACTTCCGTTTTCTATTGAGCATTTTTCTCATGTTTAGACAGCTTTAATAGATTTCCTTCAAAAAGAAAAACCCAAAACCTTCAGTTGAATGATCAATTTTTATGGCTTATTCCTGACAAGACCAAAAGCTTATTGTTGTCGTGCTTTTGTTTTTTTGTTTTTGGAGATGGAATGTTGCTCTGTCGCCCAAGTTGGAGTGCAGTGGCGTGATCTCAACTCGCTGAAACCCCTGTCTCCCGGGTTCAAGGGATCCTCCTGCCTCAGCCTTCAAGTAGCTGAGATTACAGGCGCCTGCCACTACACCTGGCTAATTTTTGTATTTTTAGTAGAGATGGGGTTTTGTCATGTGGAGCAGGCTGGTCTCAAATTCTTGACCTCAAGTGATCCACCCACCTCGGCCTCCCAAAGTGGTGGGATTACAGGCGTGAGCCACTGCAGATGGCCTGAGACGAGGTTTTGCTATGTTGCTCAGGTTGATCTTGAACTCCTGCGCTCAAGTGATTCTACCATCTCTGCCTCCAAAATTGCTGGGATTATAGGTGTGAGCCACCATGTCTGGCAGGGCCATAATCTTTCAACCTTTCTCTTTTTTTAATCTTTTTTTAAAGGGAGAGAGAGAAGTACAATAAATGGAAAACAACAACAACAACACATATCCAAATAGCTCCAGTTAACAGTGTCATTTTATTGTCACTTTTTTGTTGCTTTTATGACTATTTATTTATGTGTTTTTTGCTTGTTTGTTTGTTTGAGATGGAGTCTTGCTCTGTCGCCCAGGCTGGAGTGCAGTGGCGTGATCTCGGCTCACTGCAACCTCTGCCTCTGGGTTCAAGAGATTCTCCCACCTCAACCCCCTGAGTAGCTGGGCTTGTAGGCACCCACCACTGCGCCTGGCCAATTCTTGTATTTTTAGTAGAGACGGGTTTCACTGTGTTGGCCAGGCTGGTCAACACTTATGTATTCATTGTCTCTTAATGTCAAATGACTATATATATATTTTCTACTCAATATAATTCATAAATTCACACAACATGACTATATTCTAAGTCTCAGAGCATGGCATTATTTTTTGGATGTACACACAAAATTTATGCCTCCAGCAATCAATCCCAATCCCAGTTTTTCTACAGTTTATGATTTTCTGCACATCTCACAGGTTGCTACAGTATTCTCACTTTAAATTCCTAATATTTTGTTTCTGAAAAGTCACACATTTGGCATTGAGGAGCAAGGAAGAGAATGTGAAGAGAATATCACAACATGAAAAGAGGAATGGTGCACCATGATTCCAGATTAATGCAAAGAGCAGTCAACCAGCAAAGTCCGCGGGAACGAGCCTTTGGGGTCCACTTCTGCCCTCGGACGAGTTCATCTGACTTTTGTTGTGCTCACTGAGACAGAACTCAGCTCTCTCTTTATTCTCCTCCACTGTGTTCACTTCTACCCGAATCTGACATATATTGTACTCCGTGGTAATACAACCTCTCTATACAGAGCTTTTATCCATTTGGAGTCTATGGCACAGGCTGGAGGCAGGAGGACAGATAACGAACAGAAAGAATCTCTCCACCTGGGCCCCCTGAGTTCAAAGATTTCAGGCTTATTTTTGTAAACTGAATCCAGTCTTATACAGAGCAGATTTATATTTCCACATTCTGATAAGAAAGACAAAAAGAAACAGAATTAACTTTCTGATCTCCATCAGCAGACACATGGTAATTAATTCATTAATCTCAGCATTCTCCTTCCCTGGTTTATATAGTCAGAGAGGAATGATTTGTAAGACTAGATTTTGGCTCTAAACTCACAACAAGTACGGGTTATGATCAGCTGAGAAATTGTTCTTCTCCCTCTACAATGATGACAAATGAGTCATTTAGAATTTTAAAGGCAAGGACATTTTCTAGAGGATTTTTGGGTCTGGGTTTCTGCTTGCTCTATATTAAAAGAGCCTTATGGTGACTCCCAGGAAGTAGTATCAACAAGAGATACTCTGTATGGTATGTTACCCCAAACTTTCCTCTTTAGTTCCAAGAACCATAATGAAGATTTATCATTGTCATCATGGGTATGCAACCATGCAGTCACACAGGGCCCAGCGCAGGCTTTTCTGAACATGAAACCCTGTCTCTACTAAAACTACACAATTAGCTGGGGGTGGTGGCAGGTGCCTTACTCGGGAGGCTGAGGCAGGAGAATTGCTTGAGCCCGGGAGACAGAGGTTGCAGTGAGCCGAGATGGTGCCACTGCACTCCAGCCTGCGTGACAGAGCAAGACTCCGTCTCAAAAATAAATAAATAATATAAATAAATACATAAAATAAAATAAAATAGCTCCGCTCCCCCCACATTTTTTCTCATTCCATCTGCCACAAACCAAAGTGATCACTGATCTAGTTTTTGTTACTCTAAATTAGTACGCATTTCCTAGAATTGTAGATATATGAAATGAAACAGCATATTCTGTTTTGGGGGGTGGAAGGGTCTGACTTCTGTTACTGAGCATAATTATTTGAGATTATCCATGCAATATTCCATTGCATGAATTTACAATAGCTTGCTTATCTCTTCATCTATTAACAGATATTTGGGTTGTTTTCATTTAGGGGTTAACAAATAAACATCCATGTAAAATATATGAACATCCATGTAAAAATCTTTGCACAGAATTATGCATTCAATTCTCTTGAGTAAATACCTAGGAATAGAATAGCTGTATCCTATGATGGGTGTATATTTAACTTTTTAAGGAACTGGTAAATTGTTTTCCAAAATGATTGTATGTACCATTTTACATTCCCACCAACCTTGTATGAGAGTTTCAGTTCCTTTACATCCTTGTCAACACTTGGTTTATCTTTTACATTTTAGACATTTTAGGGAGTGTGTAGTAATATTGCATTATGGTTTAAATTTGCATTTTTCTAATGACTAATGATGTTGAGAACTTCTTATTGTGCTTATTTGTCATCTATGTATCTTCTTTGGTGAATTTTTTGTTGAAAATTTTGCTCATTTAAAAATTGTGTTATTTTCTAAATTATTGAGTTTTGAGAGTACATTATATATTCTGGATACAGACATATGTTCTGAAACTATTTTCTACCAGTCTGTAGCTTTTTTAAAAAAAATTATTATTCTTAATAGTGTCTTTCAATGAGCAGAAGTTTATTTAATTTTGATGAAATATAATTGAACAATCTATTTTATGAATTGTGCTTTTGACATCACATCTAAGAAATCTTGCAAAGCCAAGGTCACAAAAACTCCCCCCTGTTTCCTTCTAAGAATTTTATAGTTTGGTTTCTACATTTAGGTCTATGATCTGAATTATTATTATTGCTTAGAGATGGGATCTTACTATGTTGCCCAGGCTGGAGTGCAGTGGCTATTCACAGGCATGATCATAATGCAAGATAGCTTCAAACTCCTGAACTCAAGCCATCCTCCTGCCTCAGACTCCCAAGTAGCTGGGAATATAGGCACCTGTCACCATGCCTGGCCTTGAGTTAGTTTACATATGTTGCAAAATTTGGATTGAAGCTCATTTTTTTTACATATGGATATCCAGTTGTTCCAGATGAAAAGACTGTCATTTCTCCACTAAATTGTTTTGGCAGTTTATTTGAAAATTAGTTGCTCATAGGAATGTGTATCTGTTACTCGACTCTTTTTTTTTTTAGACAATGTCTTGATCAGTTGTCCAGGCTGGAGTGCAGTGGCATGATTTAAGCTCACTGCAACCTCCACTCACTGCCTTCTCCTCCCAGGCTCAAACAATCCTACTTCCTCAGTTTCACGAGTAGCTGGGACCACAGGCATGTGCCACCATGTCTGGCTAGTTCTTGTAGCTTTTGGTAGAGACAGGGTTTTGCCATATTGCCCAGGCTGATCTCGAACTTCTGGGCTCAAGTGATTCACCTGCCTTGGCCTCCCATAGTGCTGGTATTACAGGCATGAGCCACTGCGCCTGGCCTGGACTGTTGGTTCTGTTCTATTAATTTATCTACTTTTATTCCAATACCCTCGGTATATTGATTACTTCAGTTTTTAATAATAATTCTTGAAATCTGATAGTGTTAGTCCTCCAACGTTGTTTTCTTTTTCAAAGTTGTTTTGAATACTCTAGGACTTCTGAATTTCCACATCAATTTTGGAATCAGTTTGTTGATTTCTACAACAATGCAAGCTAGGATTTTGATTGGATTGCGTTGAATCTAGAGATCATTTTGAGAGAATTGATATCTTAACAGTATTGAATTTCTGATTTATGAGCAAGGTGTCTCTCTCCATTTACTTAGGTCTTTAATTTCTCTCACTGTTTTGTAGGTTTCAGTGTATAAGGTTTTCTTATCTTTTGTTAGGTTTGCTCCTAATAATTTCATGTTTTTTAGGCTGTTGCAAATAATATTGTTTTTTATGTTCAATTTCTGATTATTTATTGCTAGTCTATAGACATACAGTTAATACTTGTATGTTGATCTTGTGTCCCACAAACTCAGTAAACTCATTGGTTCTAGTAAGGTTTTTATAGGTTTCATCAGATTTTCTACATGAGTTGTTATTAGTTTTTTACTACCTTATTTTATCGAATTGATAAGGTATACTAGAGCATACCATTAAAAAACCCTACAACTAACTCATATTTACTTAGGTCTTTTAAAATTTCTCTCATGTCATTAGAAAAAAATATAGCTTTATTCCTTCTTTTCCTGATACGAATTTTTTTTCCCCTTGCCTGACACACTGCCTTGAATCTTCATCACTGAAAGTGAACATCTTTGTCTTGTTCCTGATTTTAGGAACAAAAATTTCAAATTTCCACAATTAAGTGTGATGGTACCTGTAGGATTTCATGAATGGACTACTGGGAATGAGCTCATATGAGTTAGTTTTAGTTTTTTTATGGTATGCTCCAGTGTACACTATCAATTCAGTAAAATAAATCAGTGAACAACTAATAATCTGCAGTTGGTTTAATCTGTAGTTGGTTGAATCCCCAGTTGCAGAACTCATAGATACAGAGGACCAACTGGATCTCCATCCTCAAGGACATGGAGGGCAGAGGTGAGGTCAGCTGGACTTCCTGGGGCCAGTAGGGACTTGGGGAACTTTCCTATCTTACAAGAGGCTTGTAAAACATACCAATCAGGAACTTTCCAGTCTTACAAGAGGTTTGTAAAATGCACCAATCAGCACTCTGTAAAATGCACCAATCAGCGCTCTACAAAATGTACCAGTCAGTGCTCTGTAAAACGCATCCATCAGTGCTCTGTAAAATGCACCAGTCAGCAGGATTCTAAAAGTAGCCAATCATGGGGAGGATTGAAAAAAGGGCATTCTGATAGGACAGAAACAGAACATGGGAGGGGACAAATAAGGGAATAAAAGCAGGCCACTTCAGCCAGCAGCTGCAACCTGCTCGGGCTGCTTTCCACGTTGTGGGAACTCTGTTCTTTTGCTCTTCACAATAAACCTTGCTACCGCTCACGTGTTGGGTCCGCGCCATCTTTTAAGAGCTGTAACGCTCACCTTTAAGAACTGTGACACTCATCACGAAGGTCCACAGCTTCATTCTTGAAGTCAGCGAGACCATGAACCCACCGGCAGGAACCAACTGCGGACACACAGCTACCTCCTTCATTGCGTGTCGTACAGTGTCACCTTATAGGGGATATCATATACATCTCTTAAAACTTAGCCTCAAAAAGTCCCTAGTAGAAAACAGTGGGCACAGAACATTAATAGGCACTTGAGAGAAGAAACACAATTGATCAAGAAACATAAATACAGGCTCAACCTTACTAAAAGCAAAAATAAAGTACCATTTTTTTTTTTATCAGAGTATGACAATGGAAAAGGTTGGTAATATCCGACATATGGGAGCATATTAATTACAATATTTCCGCACTACTGTAACAGAGTACAAATAAGAAAGTGGCTTAAAAACAATGCTCATTTCTCTTCTTTTTAATACTGTCATTGTGACTAGTCCAGATCAATTTGGACAGTTTTGCAAGCGGGTAACTTGCCCTGGGCCCCATGACTCAGTGCCCCCTCCTTTACAGGCTTTGTGCTCTGTATCAGGCAGTCCTCCAGGGTGACCTGGCTGCCTCCTTCTAGGGCTTTGGAGACTTTTGCTACACAATGCCAACGGGCTTTATCAATTGATGGTCCTGTCTTAGCTCTGATCATGTGGCCACATCGTGTCCTCCCAGGCCGGCCTTAAGTCGTGCCAAGAAGGGACAGACATTTCTTGTGTGAACGGGGCTGCCACTCTGACTTTGCCCGTGGGCCCCTGGTTTATCCTTCTTTCTCCTGGCAGTATGTGTAAGGTAGCGGGGTGGTCAACAGTGATTATGGCTTAAAGAGCTCAAGAGAAGGCGCTGTTGGAAAATGTGTTGTTCCACCTTTATGTGATAAAATTTCAAATGGCAAATTTAACATGACTAGAAAATGAATTAGGGTTCATATCTTGTGCATACTCTGGTTAAGACTTGCATTTGTCTTCATCATCAATGAAGCATGGTAACAATCTTTGACAGTGTCATTTGAAGTCACTGTATGATGCACAGTCAGGAGTAATAAGGTAACCAGCATTAAATAATTAGCACTAGGGAACTGCATAGCCAAGATAACCTGTATTGTTTCAACACAAACAAATTTCCAAGAGCTATGGCATTTAAAGTAGTAACAGTGTTGCTTCTTTTTTCTCAGGGTGGGATATGATATTAGCCAGAAAGGATGCATTGAGAATTCATGGACCTGAGCAGGAAAATATGGTGCACTTATTGAACAACAAGCAAATATGTAAGTACTTCTCTACTTATTATTCTAAAGCTTCATCAATAAATCACTATACTTTACAGGGGCCAATGAATGCTGTACTATGTTTTAAAATTAAATTGTTTACTTTGAAATAAAAAAATGAGGATTTTTTAAAAGACCAGGAAGAATTATACCCAAGTTAAATTGTGTGAGTGTTGGTTTCATATGAGAGTTTGTTTCTTTTCATATGTTCTATAACGTGGTCACATTAAATTAGAAAATAACTTGGCCATGGTCAATTAGCCGGGTGTGGTGGCACATGCCTGTAATCCCAGCTACTTGGGAGGCTGAGGCAGGAGAATCCCTTGAACTTGGGAGGCAGAGGTTGCAGTGAGCTGAGATCACGCCATTGCACTCCAGCCTGGGCAAAAAGAGCAAAACACCATCTTAATAATAATAATAATAATAATAATAATAATAATAATAATAAAAAATTCTCTTTGAATGCAAATCTCATGCTCTTTTATTAAAAAAGGTAATATAAGGTACATCTTTCAAAAGATACAAAAAGGCATATATGGTGAAAAATAAATCTTCCTCTTATCCTGTTCTTCAGTCACCTAGTTCCTTTTCCCAGAGGCAATCACTATTTCTTTGAATCTTTGAAGAGATGGAAAATCTATCTCTGTGTGTGTTTGTGTAAATTTTCTTTTTAAAGGAAAATGATTTAAAAAATACATACACACACAGTTCTGTACTTTGCTAATTTGATTAATATGGTTTGGATCTGATCCTATCAGTCCATAAAGAACATACTCTTTAATAATTGTATTTTATTAAATGGGTATATGCAATATAATTTATTAACTAGCTCTCAACCTATTGTTATTTCAACAATGTTGAACTTAATATTCTCACACATAGGTCTGGAAATATCTGTGAGTTAAAATAGGTAATGTGTAAGTGGATTTGCTAGAGCAAAGGGGATAGTCACTTAAAATACATTGCAAAACTGCTCACTAGAGACATTGTAGCAATTTTACACCAACAGTGCATGTGTATCTCTCACTACAAGTTAGCCAGCTTCTGGAATCTTGCCATTCCCTATGCTCTTTTCAGTGCAGAACACTGCCTGCCTCTGAGTCTCAGTTCCAGCATCATATGCTAGGTTTGTGACTTTGGACAAGTCAATTTAATCTCTCTGAACCATCTTCCTTAATGGAAAGGAATATCCATTTTCTTTTTTTTTCTTTTTCTTTCTTTTTTTTTTTTTTTTGAGACAGAGTTTCACTCTTATTGCCCAGGCTGGAGTGCAGTGGTGTGATCTTGGCTCACCACAAACTCCACCTCCTGGGTTCAAGTGATTCTCCTGCCTCAGCCTCCCGAGTAGCTGGGATTACAGGCATGCATCACCATGCCCGGCTAATTTTATATTTTTAGTAGAGACGGGGTTTCTCCATGTTGGTCAGGCTGGTCTTGAACTCCCGACGTCAGGTGATCCACCCGCCTTGGCCTCCGAAAGTGCTGGGATTACAGGCATGAGTCACCGCGCCCAGTCAGAATAGCCATTTTCTAAAGCTCCTATAAAAATTGGAGGAGATATGCTAAAGGCCAACCATTACACAAATGAGAGGCAGAATCAATTTTTTTTTTTTTTTTTTGAGACGGAGTCTCGCTCGTCGCCCAGGCTGGAGTGCAGTGACACGATCTCGGTTCATGCCATTCATGCCATTCTCCTGCCTCAGCCTCCCCAGTAGCTGGAACTACAGGTGCCCGCCACCATGTCCGGCTAATTTTTTTGTATTTTTAGTAGAGACAGGGTTTCACCGTTTTAGCCAGGGTGGTTTCTATCTCCTGACCTCGTCATCTGCCCGCCTTGGCCTCCGAAAGTGCTGGGATTACAGGAGTGAGCCACAGCGCCCAGCCAAATCAATATTTTTATATATTCTACGTATAAATGTTAGGTGTGAAAGTGATCATGGTTTTTGCCATTACTAAAAACCGCAATTGCTTTTGCACCAACGTAACAGCTCTTGTACTTTTCCTCCACTTCTGTTCTTATCAGGGCAACAGTTCTGGCTTTATTATTCATCTACTTGCTTTTTGTTTCTTTCTCACACACTCCGTCCCTCTGCCCCCAAATCCGAAGATCAAATAAATGAGTCTTACTGAAATTTGATTTGTGCTATCTGCCACTTAAAAAACAAAATAAAAACAAAACTCTGCCAGGTGTGGTGGCTCACACCTGTAATCCCAGCACTTTGGGAGGGCGAGCCAGATCACTTGAAGTCAGGAGTTCAAGACCAGCCTAACCAACATGGCAAAACACTGTCTCTACTAAAAACACAGAAATTAGCCGAGCGGGCCAGGAGCAGTGGCTCACACCTGTAATACCAGCACCTTGGGAGGCCGAGGCAGGCGGATCACCTGAGGTCAGAAGTTCAAGATCAGCCTGGTCAACATGGTGAAACCCCATCTCTACCAAAAATACAAAAATTAGCCGGGCGTAGTGGCATGCGCCTGTAATCCCAGCTACTCAGGAAGCTGAGGCAGGAGAATTGCTTGAACCCAGGAGGCAGAGGTTGCAGTGAGCCGAGAATGCGCCACTGCACTCCAGCCTGGGTGACAGAAAGAGACTGTCTCAAAAAAAAAAAAAAAAAAAGAAAGAAAGAAATTAGCCAGGCATGGTGGCAGGTGCCTGTTATCCCAGCTACTTGAGAGGCTGAGGCAGGAGAATTGCTTGAACCCGGGAGGTGGAGGTTGCTGTGAGTCAAGATTTTATCACTGCACTCCAGCCTGGGCAACAGAGCAATTCCTCTCAAAAACAAAAAACAAAACAAAACTCTAAAGCTAAGAGGAAATTCTGTACCTTGTCCTCCATTACCTACCCCACCCTAGGGGCTACTTACCTTCCTAAGTATTATTATTATTTTTTTACTACTGCCTTTAGCCATTGTTATAAAACCATTAAAATATTCCAGCATAAGGAGCATGATATTACACACTAGGTTAAATTACTAGTGCAGTCAGTTGCCCTAATTAGTAGTTCACGTAAAGCCCATACTAGAGTGGTAGCTATCATAAGTGCTGCTAATATTGATTAATAGCACACAGCAGGTTTGTTAATTAGCACCATGAATATCAGAAATTGGTTTTTATTAAATTGATAGTTGTAATAAGCATGAAGAATGTTAAAAATGGGTTCTGAGAAATTAAATGTTTTCAAGATATGTATTAATAGAGTGGTTAAAATGTTCAGACAGTCCCCATTATTTCATGATCTAGGTTTAAGAATCCAGGACGGTCAATATCCCCCACATCCTTAGGGATGATCTCCAAAGTCTAAACAACCGAGAGTCCTATGATCAGACAATAGGTCTAAGGATTTCTAGTTGTTTCAAGCTCATTTAAAGGAGGCTGAGGCGGGCGGATCACGAGGTCAGGAGAGCGAGACCATCCTGGCGAACATGGTGAAACCCCTTCTCTGTTAAAAAATTACAAAACATTAGCTGGGCATTGTGGCACGCGCCTGTAATCTCAGCAACTCAGGAGGCTGGGGCAGGAGAATCACTTGAACCTGGGAGGCAGAGGTTGCAGTGAGCCAAGATCGTGCCATTGCACTCCAGCCTGGGCAACAAGAGCGAAACTCCGTCTCAAAAAATAAAATAAAATAATCAAATCAAATCAACTCAAATCAAATCAAAAAATAATAAAATAAAATAATAGCCCCGGCCCCGGACCCTGCAGCCGCCGAGATGTTGATGCCTAAGAAGAACCGGATTGCCATTTATGAACTCCTTTTTAAGGAGGGAGTCATGGTGGCCAAGAAGGATGTCCACATGCCTAAGCACCCGGAGCTGGCAGAAAGAATGTGCCCAACCTTCATGTCATGAAGGCCATGCAGTCTCTCAAGTCCCGAGGCTATGTGAAGGAACAGTTTGCCTGGAGACATTTCTACTGGTACCTTACCAATGAGGGTATCCAGTATCTCTGTGATTACCTTCATCTGCCCCCGGAGATTGTGCCTGCCATCCTACGCCGTAGCCGTCCAGAGACTGGCAGGCCTCGGCCTAAAGGTCTGGAGGGTGAGCGACCTGCGAGACTCACAAGAGGGGAAGCTGACAGAGATACCTACAGACGGAGTGCTGTACCACCTGGTGCTGACAAGAAAGCCGAGGCTTTTAGAGGCGGATTTGGTCGTGGACGTGGTCAGCCACCTCAGTAAAATTGAAGAGGATTATTTTGCATTGAATAAACTTACAACTAAAAAACCTTAAAAAAAATAAAAAAATAAAAAAATGAAGGATAACCAGCCTCAGGAATGTCATCACATTTGGTATAAGTGAACCTTTCATGTGTGATCAAATTACCCCAAATTGATGAAGAGCTAGAACTCTACCATGCTTACAAAACAAGTTATAATGAACAGTTTTGTGCTTGCTTGTAATAGATGTTTAATAAATGTCTGTATGCGTCACAGAATTTGACCTAAGACTTACTTTTATTGTAACCTGCTAACATGGTTGTGGAGAAATAGCTAACTCTCGTCTGCATTAGACTTGGTTAGTCTTTTACCAAAAAAACCCTGAGTTGCCCATGACCAAATTGTCTGATCAGTTGACTGTTTTTTAACCTACTTCCTATAAAGCACCCTATGACAGCCTGCCTGCACGCTGTTTCCCTCTTTCACTGTGAATACCCACATTCTATAACTTCAGGAAGTCTTCCAGATGCCAGGTAGATCCCAATCCCTCTCAATTCCAGTAGTTCAATCTGTTACTTACAGCACTTTGAAATTTGTCTTGTATCTTTGTGATCCACTTTATAGCGCTTGCTAGATTTTCTTCAGAGTGGAATAACATGCAGACCATATTTTTCATTCCTCAAACTATGTAGTATAGTGCTTTCCTTACCGTACAGATAAATAAGGATTAAATGAATAATGGAATATGCTCAAATCATTGTCGGTGTTGGGAGAAAGAGCATTCATTCTTTCACGCTACAGTTACTGAGTCCTTACTATGTGCTCAGCATTTTTCTAGGCTCTGGGCTGGAATCAATCAACACAACCAAGTCTCTGCCTTCAGAGAACTTATATTTTAATGGAGAAGACAAAATATATCATGGTAGGTAGTGACAAAGGTTATGAAGAAAAAGAATGCATAATAAGACAGTCGAGTGGGGCAGGCGTGCTACTTCAGATGGGGCAGACAGGGTTAATAAGTAGGAACCTTAAAGGCTGTGATGACTCTGGATTTTTTGTGTGATGGAAAAGCTACCAGGTCCTTGCTTTGAATACATTCTCAGTAGGCCACAGGGTAACTACTTAT